TGCTCTGTGGGCCTTAGCATCAAGCTCTCTGCGCTGACTCTCTGGAACATGTACATAACTCACACAACCAGACTCTTAGATTAGAAATGTCTGTTCTTCTACCATACAAACGCTGAAATTGAGTTTCATCTTTCAATGCGGCTGCTGTTGGACTTCGATTGTGAACGTAAACTGCTGTGCTGTAGGCTTCTGCCCAAAATTCCAGCGGTAATTTGACTTGATAGAGCATCGATCTTGCTCCCTCCATTATCGTACGATTCAATCATTCAGCAACACAATTTTGCTGTGGACAGTATGAAACGGTGAACTCCTGCGAGATTCCGTTGTCTGCACAGAACTTAGTGAACTTGTTGGAAGTGTACTCTCCTCCATTATCACTTCTGAGAACTTTAACATCTTCCTCTGCGAGAATGTTCAGTTTCTTGAATCTGATTACCAGTATGTCTCTCAACAGAATTGACATATTCTATGAATTTCAAAAGCACTTCACCCTTGGATTTAAAGAAGTGAGCAGTGGTATATCGTGAAAAGTCATCTGTGAATGTGAGCATATATTTACTGCCGCCTTTTGATTCCACTTGCATTGGGCCACATACATCACTGTGTACAATCTCGTATGGTCTGGTTGCCCTGTGTTGGCTCTGTTCAGTGAAAGGGCTTCTTCTGCATTTTGCCAAGAACACATGCTTCACATTCTTTCTGGGATTGGGTGTCAGCATCATAGTTCAAACCGTCAACCATTACTTTCTTCATCAACTCATTCATATAGGTGTAGTTGAGATGACCCAACCTGCGGTGCCAAACTGCAAGTGATGCTGCACTATTTGCTGTTGAAACTTGAGCGTAGTCGGTAGAATTGACTATGTACAGCTTGTCACCCAATAGACTTCCAATAACAGATTCTTGGCCATTCTTCCGTACTAAACATTTATCCTTGTCAAAGTTAATTTCTGCTCCCATCAACGCCATTGCAGGTACTGAAAGTAAGTTCTTAGTCAGCTTTTGTACAAACAACACTTGATGCAAGTCAAGGACAATTTCACGGGTACTGTTTACTGTAGGGAGTTTGAATTTCCCTTTGCCATGTGCAAGAATTACTGTGCTGTCTCGCAGGTAATTATTTCTTGGTTCTTGGGACTGAACATAGTTCTCTAAAATGCTTTTGTTGTTTGTCATGTGCTTTGTCGCTGCTGAGTCAATAAACCATTCATTTGACTTATTCATCGTGCTTGAGATTAGTGCAACTCCTTCGAGTTCGGCCGTATTGGAACTTTCTCTTTTCTCTGTACTCTGTTTGTTGTTGTACGGACAGTTCTTTACGATGTGCCCATCCTGGTTGCATTTGAAGCACTTACACCTCTGTATTTATCACGATCATCACGGCTGGCCTGAGCATTTAATTAAATTAAAATTCTGAAATCGGCCACCGCGACCGCCACTAGCTCCACCACGTGGTTGAAATCTTCCTCGATACGACGATTTTTCTCTGGTAAAAAGTGCATTATCAGATTCTTGTTTCTCGTTCTTCTCAGTCCGCTTCATGTATTCTTCAATCGAAAATCCTTTTACTTTCTCCCGGCCGAGATCATCGACGCTTCCGGCGCTTAAACTTGTCAAGAAATTATCATGCGACTCGCGTAAACTTCCTAACACGACCGTAGCAAATTTCTTTGACGAAATGTTTTCATTCATTTCTCCTAATTGTTCCGCAAGGGAAGTCATGTGAGTCAAATGTTGCATCAAATCTGCGCCTTCCTTTATACTTGCTGCGCAAAACTGGCGATTAAGACGAACAATCTGGGTGACTGACACAAATTCGAATTGCTTCTGCAAAAGTTTCCACACAGGGAGCGGGTCTGTCACCGACAGATCCTTTTCTACGTTCAACGCAATGAGCGAATAAGCTTTGTCAGATCGAAGGCGAAAAGCATTCTTTACCGCTGCAGATGCATCATTTGCAGGAGGAATTTCTTAGCCTTCTTGAGTGAAACCCCACAGACCACTCTTCATTAAAACGAGCTTTACGTTGTACTTCCATAACTGGTAATTTCTCCCGTTCAACTTTTCGTTCTTTGTGATCTCTGACACCGACGTCTCCGCCATACGCTTTGGTAAAATAACAATCCATAACTTAGAGCATTGGTTTAGCGTCCTGGGCCCATAACCTGTTAGAATGATTCAGTCCATTCGCTACTATTAGGACATTTATTCCTTAAAGATTCGCTGTGTTACACTTCACGTGGCGAGAAGAAAAACGGAACAGAACAGAACCAATATGCCAAGCACATGTCAAAAGTTCATTGTGAAATTAACCAATCAGAAATGTTCATTGAAAGGCGTAAATTATCATATGTAATTCCAACAACAGATTAATACTCAGCGCTCAGCTTAGGGAAAAATAAAAAAAATACAACACCTTAATTTTCACCCTATGAAAAATCAAAATGTAGAGAACATATGCAACTAATGACTAAAAACACAGTAATAAAGTATATATTTAAGATATTAAGAAAAGAGATTTCGTAAACATGTATAAGGTATATTTTTGACACATTCCATTTATCATTCAAAAGGTTTCATTTACTTGCGAAATGTAATTACACCAAAAGTCATAGGTCGTGGACCAAGGACCACTACGCGAAATTTGGTGATATTTTCCAAGAGTCGATAAAGAAAAAATTCAAAGTCTGCTTCCAACGGCAGAAAAAGTTTTATCTGAAAACCCGTCCTGCAAAAAGGCACTTCTTCCCCTTTGCGTTTTATTTATTCACAGGCCAAGTAAATTTACGGTGCCGCAAAAGTACAAACTTCAAGGAAGACAAATTAACCTACCTGTCAACAAACTTGAATTTTGTTCCTTCAGCAACCGCAGGAAAGCCAAAACTTCGCCATATGAAAGAAGACTAATCAATAAAGCATCGGAAACATTCATTTTTTTACGTATTTTTTTTGAGACGAAATATTTCTTCATGTTCGAAAAAGTCGCGGACCAAGGGCCACATACTGTACAATTTACCGGCACATCAGTTACACAGTTAAAACACGTAGATTTGCGAATGCCTAATCCTAGATAATCGAGAACACAAATGCCCTATGATCGAGGGAGCAGACGGGCAGACTGTCTATAGAACGACTGTGTTTTTGCTTGTTTTTGAAATATGACTGAAAAACAGGTGAGGCGTAACGAGCACATCGCTCGAACAGTTATAATTGATATAACCAAGCAGGTAATGCAGAAACTCTTTTCGTCCAGACGTAGGCCATTCCCAGTAGTAATCCTGGCGGCGATTCCCTGTAAAATATTCAACTTTAAGGTTGCTCCGTTATTAATACAGGCGCTTTGATCTGTGACAAACTTTTCGTCATACCTTTTTTCGTTTTTAACTCGATGGCTGAGAAACTTTGCAAAGAACAACAGATATCATTCAGTAATACGAAATATTCCGATTTCATTGCTGGTAATTTTTTTTTTCGAAATTAGCGCTTGGCAGACCCTACTGTTTATAGAAAATCGCTTCTGGTAAAAGATTTTGCTGATACTTTTTACTGAAATTTCTGGTATCGGCTTTTATTAATATAACAAATATGCCAGAGAAATTTCAGAGAAATCGTTGGAGCAGAAGTCCGTAACCAAAAGTGGTTCCAAATTCAAAGCAATTTAGTTTTGAAATTCCAAAACAATTTCAAAGCTGAATTTTGAACGACTTTTAGTTACGGAACTTGCTCCAACGATTTCTCTGAAATTTCTATGGCGTATTTATTATATCAATAAAAGCCGATACCAGAAATTTCAGTAACAAATATCAGCAAAATGTTCTATAAACAGTCAGTAGGGACTACTTAAGCGGCGATTTCGCAAAAAATGTTTACCACCAATGAAATCAGAATATTTCGTATTATTGCTGAATGATATTTGTAATTCTTTGGAAAGTTTCTGAACCATCGCGTTAAAAACGAAAAAGTTATTACGAAAGTTCGTCATAGCTCAATGCGCCTGTATTAATGACGAAACATTGGTTCCTCGTTCACCCTTCATCCATCAATGGCCAACCCTACCCGGCAGGTTTTATTAAACGTCGCGGAACTAAACATATGGTAGGATTTTATGAACTAAAAATACAAGTATAAGTCTGCAAACTTTTGGGACCGTCAAAAATGAGCTGCACCTTAGATTTGTCATTCCTCATTATAACAAAATTCGACATTTGCACATCTCCCACAATACACCTTCTTTGCCCCCCAATATTTTGCATAAGCATTTTCTTTTATTTGTCTTGGGACCACTGTAATACCCAGGAGAAATCAAAAACAAAGGTTATGCACAATTTGGCATAGGGGAGCAAAAAAGGTGCATTATGGAAGATGTGCAAATGGCAAATTCCAAACAAAAATACGAGAGGCATGGCCCAGCGACATGGCCGCCCTTGAAACAGCAACATAAGACAAGATGAAATGGCGACAAACGGACAAACGACTCGAAGATGGGTTAAATACCGACAAGAGAATTGCCTTCCTCAAAAGGCGAAATGACCGTACTTGAAATTTAGACTAGGGACATACTTTCTCTCCCCTCCCTCCTAAGACGGCCTCAATAGACCCTTCCACCCTTTTTTTTCCGAATTTTGATAATTGAAAAATCACTGCTGGAAAGAGCACCTTATCATTTTAAGCGAGCGAAGATATTGCTCCGCAAAGTCGAGAAATTTCACTCTCGGTGACGTATGTATAGTACGAGGCATGAACTTGCCCTCCACCATACAAACTTCTGTAAAATACGGTGACTTTCACGTTCAAACTTGCAAGCGTCTTTCCTGATTTAAAGGCGTTCTTTTTAGCCTTGTTGGCGGATTTTCGCTAACTGGTCCCAGTCGAAAGTTAAAAAAAAAAAACAATGAAAGGGCCGATTGTATTACCGCTGAAAATGTCAGGACTACAAATAGCCAATAAGATTATGACTTGCGGTGGTTGCTTTGTAATACAGATCCGTTTTTCAGGTCGTCATGGCAACGGGAGGAGCAACTGGTGGGCGTGTAATACCGTTTATGTCACTAATACCGCCAGGTACTCCTGCTGCACCCACCGTTCTGCCTGGAGGCCCAACTGCTGCTGGACCTGGTAAGAAGAGTCAATTATCAGCACTAATATATTTAAGGGACGTAATTTATTAAACTGAACCCACCCTTGATGCAGACTACCACGTATGGAACAGTACATTAATTTATTGGTTGACGCCTTTGTCATGCTATTGATTCTTAAAAAGGGCAAAAGCAGCTGTCCATGGATGGCATGGGGGCCAATTGCCCCTGCCGCTCTCAATGATTTTCTTTGAAACGGCTATTTTTTTCCTTTTAAACGACTGATGGACAAATTAGATGAGTCAACTTCTTTTTGAATTGTTCTGATTTTTATGCCATATTCTTTTAGCCAGCAGTTTTGACCTTGAAAAGAACCAAAAGAGATGGGTCGTGATCGGGATTTGCTTGAACAGACTTCTCTTACCAGTCCTCCGGGATTTTGTGGCTCAAGAAATTCCCAAACACTACGCATCCCTGAAGACTGCACATGGAATTGACTCTCAAGTCTATGGAAAACATTCGGTTCATGATGGACCATTTCAGCTTAACTATGGAAGCATCAACAATAATTGGTGCAATTTTAAGAAAAAAGTGCGTTCATATGATTACAAAGTTGGAACAGCTGAAGACTTGGCTAAACTTTATCTTGAGCCACACATGGCCAAGTTTACAGGTACTTAAAACAAGAGCGTGCCGAATGACATGTCCTTTTAACAAATAGTGTATGCGAATCAGTTTTCTTGCTTTAAACGTACAGTTGCGAAAACTAGATCATCTCTCTTTGGAAATATCACAAATTCCTTCCAATATTAAAAGCCAAATTGAGGGCCAAAAGCTAGAAAACTGCATTGAAGAATGTCATCTACGCTTACTTAGTGAGGATCATTAGGCAGACAGGTTCAGGGACAACACCACTTTTGAAAATTCTGCTCAGCAGTGGGTCTTCTATGAGGAGCGTACTAACTATGCCATATAGTAGTAAAAATTTTGATTCATACACATTATACTGCTTGTATTGGACAAGATGCTGTTTTGACTTCACTACACAACATCAACAGACAAAACGTAATGGCAAATAAGTTTATTTTGAGACGGCTTAGCGAGAACCAACCCTACAAAGTACAAAGTACTTATGTAAATACAATAATAGGTGATAACTGGTGAATACCTAATGTACAACACTTGTAAACTAGCTTTCACAAAAAGAAAAAACTCGTGCTACAAATGGTCGCTCTTGACCTGAATCTCCCAGTTAAGCACGCGGGCTTAGTGCCAATTAGGCTGCCAGTTATTCTGGAGAAACTAATTAACAAAACTCTGACAACGGATAACTGGCACAGGGAACACGGTAGGAGCACAGAGGCTAAGCAAAAAGAAAAACTGTTACAACTGGTCGATCTCGACCTGAATCCCCCTAATAAGCACGCAGGCTTAGTGCCAGTTAGGCTGCCAGTTAGGGTGGGGAAACTAATTAATAAAACTCTGACAAAGCATAACTGGCACAGGGAACACGGAAGGAGCACAGAGGGTAAGCAAAAAAAAAGAACTGCTACAACTGGTCGATCTCGACCTGAATCCCCCAAAGAAGCACGCAGGCGTAGTGCCAGTTAGGCTGGGGAAATTTGATAAAACTCTGATCAACGGATAACTGGGACCGGGAACAATTCAGGAGCACAGAGGCTGAGTGCCAGGAAAACAGGGAATTATCTTCACTAATGTACCCAACAAGGCACGTAGCCCAATAACCAGTAAGGCTGCCATAAAGGGCTAGGGCAGGACATTGAGGGTAAACAAATGGATAACGACCCTGGCTAGAGGTCTGTAACATTGTCTGCAACCTAACTGCGTCAAGCGAGACTTATGTCGCCTCCTAAAGAGCGGTTCCGGGGCAGCTGGCCTAGGCATACATAGAAACTAAATATATCAAGTAAAGGACCAGGTGCAAAAGTGAGATAACTGTACAAGTACATAAAATAAGAAACGGAAAAAAGCTGAAAACTAGCAGAGCTGAGCTACCGCTTACAAACTGAAGTAAATGCGGTCAGACGGAGGCCAGAAAAAACCTGCCCAAAAAAACCCCGAAGCGAAAAAATGCGGGCAGGAAATCTGGGTAGGAGCCAAGGCTCAATCTCAAAGCCCTTCCTACGGGACTTTACAATGTAATCGAGAATAGGTTGCCCCTAAAAATAAACAAAACAAAAATTTAAGAAAAACAAAAGAGAGGTTGGTTCGTAAACCTAGATGACGTACACGTGATATACGCAGCCTAATATACTCAGCACAACTATTCCCGCTTTTGTTGTGTCAGTCGTGCAATTTGTATGCAATCTGATATTATTTCAACTTGATCTGCATGTGAAAAACCGAAAGTTTTCAACTGAAACGAAGTCAACTCCATCCTCAAGTTCACCTGAAGGCTAATGGTTTACTTGGAAAACAAAGGCATGCGTCTCTCAAACTTTTAACCACGCAATTTAAATTCGGAGCTATTTTTATGCTTAAGGTACAGGGCTACTTCTTTTTGGGGATCGTTTTAACTCCATATTTACTCCAATCATGGAGGTAACTTTTTGACACTGCGGATGATATATATAACTCCACCTCGGTAGTCCTAACTGTTTGAAATGCACTGTGCATTTGTAGGATTTGATAACACATGTGACCTGTCAGCAGTCCTGGGGATTCTGGAGAGGGCGTCTGTTTTTCACAATCGTGTCCAGACCAATGCCAAGGATGTGCGCTCTAAAGTAAGAAATGAGTGGGGACACTGCAACTTTGACCACTGGACTGAGCTAGAGTTCCAGACCAGTTTTCAAATTATGGAGACCATGGTTCGTTCACTGGGGCTACCAAAGGCTGACGAAGACAAACAACTTGATGAACTTCAAGATTGGGAAACTAAGGGTACGTATTACTGAACGGGTAAGGGATTGGACGTATATACCAACTTTACATCAAAGATAAAGTTATATCAGATGTTCCTTTGGGGGGTGGGGGGGGGAGGGTGGCTTAATTACAGACATGACGAGAAACATAGAGGGCGTTTGTGTTTATTGATTTTTTGGGTGTTGCATTAATTTACTAGATGGCAATCTTAATTTATAGGCTTACAACTGTGCATGGGCTGCCCAGTGGATAAGGATTTAATGAAGCTTATCAGTGTTGAAGTTTGCAACCTGGAAAAGGAGGTGGATAATTTAAAGCAATTCAGCGCCGATGAAGCCAACAAGATAAGTGCTGCCCTTCAAATTATCAGAGTCGAAATTGATAACTTTGACAAGCGAATAACTGAGATTGAAAGAAAAGTGGAGGCAGAACGAAACGAGCGAATAGAAAAAGAGGAGGCTTTGTCGGATGCAATTGCAGATATTTCAAGTAACGTTGTAGAAGTAGACAAACGTATAGATGCTAATGAAGGGGACATTGCTCTGTTGCAAGAAAAGCAAAGCGATTTAGAAACAACTGTATCGTTTGTTACAGATGAACAAGCTCGTTTAACTGCTGATGTAGGGGCTTTAAAAAGGGAGCAAAGTCAGTTAGATGCGAGGGTTGACGCCCTAGAAAAGGGGAGTTCCAAGAGAACAAATGCTAAAATTTTTCAAGTACCCAGCCGCAATCGTTGCTTTTGTGGTCGCGATAGGGAATTAGAAGCAATTGTAGCGCAACTAAAAAACACCCCAAATGGATGTATACACTCAGCTATTTGTGGTCTCGGTGGTGTTGGTAAAACGTCTCTCGCAGTAGAATTTCTTTGACGAAATAATAAAGAATATCCCGGGGGTATATTCTGGATTTCTGGCGAAAATAATAATCTTTTTCAAAGGTCCGTCGGGGAGATGGCACGTCAAATTGGAACATTCGAAAACGATTTTGACAAATCCTTGTCGAGGACCCTTGATTGGCTTGGAAAACGCGACGATATGTGGTGTTTGGTCGTCGATAATCTTGACGAGTTAGAAATGTCCACAGAAATGCGTAAGCTGCTTACTGGTCACTGGAAAAGTATGGCTCGTGGTCACATCATCATAACAACAAGAAGGGAGGTTTCAGAAATTGGAGAAGAAACAGGAATTGACGAGCAGTGTTGCATTGACTTAAAATGCTTAACAGAAGAAGAAGGCATTCAGTTCCTATGGATGCGAACAGGGAAAGCTGAAAAAGAAGAAAACGACTTACGTGAACTGGTCAGAGAACTTGGAGGACTGCCTCTAGCCCTTGATCAAGCTGGGGCCTATATAAGGTGGGTTAAACAGTCCATAAAGGAGTATGTGGAGAAATACAGGAAGCAGAAGCTGCTTTTATTAAAAAAGAAAAAGGCCCAACTATTTGTGGAAAACACCTCTGCTGAGCGGCTAGCTGTCCACACAACATGGATGTTGAATTTTGATCACATCAATCACATATCAAAAGAGATGGAACTTGGAGAAGCTCCCATTCGTTTTATGCAGGTTTGTGCTTTTTATGGCCCGGATGACATTCCATACGAGTTGGTTAATGAAGGGCTAAAGGAAGATGGCAGTTCTGAAGAGGAAAGCGGTGTATGGGATCAAGCTGAAATAATGTCTCTCCTTACTAAGTTTTCGCTGTTTCAAAGATACGGAACAAATTCGTTTAGCGTTCATCGTTTAGTGCAAGAGGTGATTCGAAGCCAGCTGAAAAAGGGGAAAATTGAATTGAATGTTCTCTATCGTGCAGTGTGTATTCTTCACCACGCGTTGGAAAATACTCGCTCTCCGGCAGAAGTGTGCGAAAGTTTCGTTGAAGACGCTGTTTTTAGTATAGAGAATCCCCCTTCGTTGCATCTGTGGGGTAAGTTGGCCTTACATTCCACGTATTTGCAGGAGCATTTGCGCGATTACTCCGCCAAGCACAAAGAGTCAGTCCATACCCTGCTGCACACTGAAGAAAGCGTGCGTGTCTTCAATGAAGCAGGTATATTCTTCAGTATTTCCCAAGAGAAAGTTAAAGCTCAAGAAGTACAAGAACTAAAGCTTCAATCACTGGTGAACCTCACAAAGCCGACCACAGAGGATGGCACTAAATTGCCTACGTATTTCATCGATATCCCTTTAAAGGACAGGGACTACAAGCTGATTTCTCACTGCATGAGACAACCAGCTTCTGAAGGCAATTCCCTGAATGTGGCAGGAAATTCTTGTATGGACAGGGAGAAAAAGGCTGACCAGATAAGGGAACAAGGAAACCTTGCAGTGCAAAGTCGTAAGTTTGAAGATGCGTTGGAACTTTATTCTAGTGCCATTGATTTGAATGTCGAGGACTATCGACTCTTCGCCAACCGAGCTCTTTGCTATTTAAAACTCGACCGGCCACAGCGAGCTCTTGATGACTGTGAAAAGTGCCTTTCATTAAATCCCCGATACAGCAAGGCACTTCAACGGAAGACCTGGGCTCTTTATGATCTCGTTAAGGGCGGAGCTGATCACCTCAATGGGCAAAGGAGAGCAACGCTGACACTGGCTGTGTTCTTTGATTCTAGTCTTCAAAGTAACGTAAAGTTTTGTGAAATGTTTCCAGAAGTACGTTCGTTTTTAGCTAGAGAAATAAAGAATGAAACGCAATTGGCTATAGCTCTACTGACGGCGAAGGAAAATGAAACTTTGCTTTTGCACGAAGGAGAGTATAATTTAGAAGAATTCGTTTCCTTCACTGATCTCCAGATTGTAGGTCTAGGCAAGGGAATCACTTTAACCTGTTCGACCCTTTGCTCAATTTTTAGTTCCAGCTGCTATTTCGAAAATATCATTTTCTCCAAGGAGAACATTGGTCTAGTTTGCCAAGAAAAGAAAGGAATTATTCATTTGAACCAATGCGGAATCTCAGGGGGCCGGACAACTTGCGAGGATTTTCCGGAATGTAACGGAGGTCCTGGATGCATAGCAGCATCTTTAGGAGAGCCTGTTTGTAATCGTACGGGAAAATTTGGAGAACCATCTTCCATCTCTGGTATTATAGGTTCTCCTGGGGTCCAGATTATAAATGGGGCCTTTGGACTTATTGAAAATTGTACAATTCATGACTGTGGTGGAGGAGGCGTACTAGTTGCAAAGGAAGACGCCCGCATGGAGGTGAGAAAATGTGAAGTGTACAAAAACCATCAAGGTGGCTTAGAAGCAAGAGAAGGAGGAAAACTGATTGCCTCTGGAAACAGGATATTCGACAACGGATACCACGGCATCATACTCGGTCCGTATGCAGGCGAATGTGACATCACTGATAACAAGATCTTTGAAAATAGAAGAGAAGGCATGCTTGTCGTCACGAATGCGAACAGGATAGACATACGTAACAATGATGTTCATCACAACGGGCCGTTTGGGCTTTCTCTGGATGATAATTCTCGCCTTTCAATCAGTAACAACCGGATATTCGAGAATGGATTTTGGGGTATCTTCGCCAAAACACGAACCTCCGCAAATATAACAGGAAATGTTATCTCTGGCAACAAATGTGGTGGCATTTTCATTGGGG